GCCATGCAAAAATTTAAATTGAAAAAGGGCGCCGCGACTAGGAAAAGTTTGGGAATTACTGGATTAAGGATATACATAAGACGGATAGACGATAAGAAAGGATAAACGAATACCATGTGCCATATCTAAATAAGCCTTCGCTTTATCGGTTGGATTTCCGCGTAAGAAGGACTACGCTTGCCAAGCGACCTAGTAGTTGAATCTGCATTTTCAAGACTACCTTTGCTCTGCACAGGCAGTAATTTTTTCAAAAGACAGTCCTCTAATAAACTTTGTCCACATTAGGAATTCGCAAATTCCCAGCATTAGCGGCTGTCCTAAGTTAGTTGCACAAGTCAAGCAAGTTGATGCAGCCCAATAATATTCCAGGACCCCCTTTCTACCTAGCATCTCTCCCCCCTTTACAAACATACACGCTTCATCTGCATTTTAAAGATGTACAACCTTATGATAAGTATGCACCTACAATATATTCTCTGACTACTTATTGTAAGCCACGTAACAGGTCCCATGAGATAACTCGTATAAAAGAGGTCGGATCATTTAAGGTGACATGATGCAGAACAAGGCAAAACTGGTTAGACCCTCGACCAGAGTGATTAAGGCGGGAGAAAATGAAGGGAGATAACAGGATCTTTTTAAAAAGGTCTCAGCATTATCGATCACTAAAAACAACTTGAAGATCTAAAGAGCAGAGCGAATATTCTGAGCAAGGTCGAGAAGAAAGCATGCAGAAAACGGACCGCAAAATAAGACCGGAGGATGTAGCCACGCAACTTAGAGAGGAAGTTGGTAGTCTGGTCCGAAAAGTAACCAGTCTTAACATGCATTCAAGAAACTATCGTCTACAGGCCGAAACTAGACATGAGGAGCTAGATTTGGCGAATCATAAGGCCCAAAAAGCCGAGGCTGACCGAACTTATCGTGAGATGGAGGCCAAGCTTGCTACATCGTGCATTAATACACAATACAAGGTACTCCAACGCATGTATATACTGCGCGTCCGAGAGGCGGAGGAAGAAGTAGTCAAGCTTAAGCGAAAATTCGAAAGTATGAGCGAGCTGGCGCGTAACGAGGTGGCCACACGGGACCGGCTGATTACAGAGAAGGATGCAAAGATTGAGCAGCTACAAGCGCACATGAACTCCTTACATTATCAACTGGAGCATGTTGTCTATAAGATGGTAGAACGACTAGAGGTCAGACTACAAGAAGACTGGACCGTTTGGGCCGAAAACGCAAAGGACTACCATAACAATGCAAAAAAGATATTAATGGATCTTGGCATTGGATTATCATTTATATAAAAACAAATGAACATAAGGTATGTAAAAAACGTTTAGCCTATAGACATCATTTATAACGAATATTCCAAAAGACTATCATGAAAGTTTGAATCAACTTGAAAATTTGGAAGAATAAAGCTTTTTCTGCGAATATCTTAAAATCTGAAGATAAATTCAAAAATAAATATCGGTGCAGAGAATGGAAGATCATGAAACAACTTTTAAAGAGAATAATGATTAAAATCTTTAAACAAAGAAAGTACAAAATTTATCAATTTAAATCTTTATCACACGCCGAATGCATATTTTCTTGAATTTTTACGGTTATTGGAGTTGAATGAAATATCTTTAAAAATGCTAAATGAGGATTAAAAAATGCATAAGTAAATTGTGGTTGGAGAGAAGTTATATTCCAAAACAGCAAGCTTATCATATTGTGCAATAAATCAATAAAACTTGGCAATAAATTCCGGTAGAAGACTTCGGGGCATTAATTTGAACTAGGCAACCTGTATTGGGAGGATGGATAATCTGTATAAAATAAGATAATAGCTGATTTAGAGGAAACGGGCCTTACTCAAGCATTTGAGTTAGTGATGGTAACCATCATCATGAAAATTTAGTTAACTAAGATACAGACATAGACAGACAAGCACTCACCTAAACACACGTCGATCGATGCCCATTAACACGGTTTCGACGGGATCCATAACAAGATCGAGGCTTGAATATTCCCTTTTCGGAGCAAGAGAACCAAGCCAATCGTCAGTGAGATTAAAATCTGGAGAAAGACTAGTAGTAGCAGCAGATATTCTAGGCACGACTGAATTCGACGAGGCATAGTTAGTATTAGGATGCCCCAGTGAAAGGAACCTTGAAGGCTCAGAAGTTGTATGGCTTGGACGCAAAGAATTGACGGTAAGAACCTCCAATCTGTGGCAGAAAATACATAAAAGAAAAAAGAATCATTAAAGGGTCTGGCCAGGTTATTGTGTGCAAGTTTACCTAATTCCTCTGCATTAGCCGTTCTCATAATTCGCAGCGTTAAAGTGGGAACTCGATAGATTCACAGACATTTCGCCGACGTAGCCAATGAGCTTTACCATTCTCAGTAACAGGTTATAACTCGTCAAATAGA